TCCCCCTCCTTGACCCTGTGAATTAAATCAAGGAGGTCTACGATACCTGAAGAAAGCTATCCGTTAGCATTCCCATTCATCTCAGTGGCAGTTGCTCAGTTGGCCTGTGACTGCAAAACCTGTTTGCTGCCATCTGTGTTCATGACCCCTAAACCTAACCATTCGTCAACAATATAAAACCAGCCTGGTCTCTTTGTTAATATGTAGCCGTTCATATAGAACATTTACAGTTACAAAAACAATATATATATATATATATATATATTGTTTTTGTAACTGTAAATGTTCTATATGAACGGCTACATATTAACAAAGAGACCAGGCTGGTTTTATATTGTTGACGAATGGTTAGGTTTAGGGGTCATGAACACAGATGGCAGCAAACAGGTTTTGCAGTCACAGGCCAACTGAGCAACTGCCATTGAGATGAATGGGAATGCTAACGGATAGCTTTCTACAGGTATTATTCATATTAATGAATTCATATGACCTGGTCTGTTCTGTTTTCACCAGCCTGTGAATTCCCGATTGATAAAATAAGTTCCCACTCTGCATTTGAATCATACCTCACATTACAGAAGAAAAATGGTTTTTCAGTCAATCTTTCACCTCAGATTGATACTAAAATCTGTATGCGCTACATTGAAATTCATTTCCAGAAGTAACGAAAGATAAAATACTATGACAAACGCTGAGGAATGAGAGAGAATGCGAGAAGACCACTGGAGGATTTGAGACAGACAGTAAAGTGAATACCATCTTGGATTGTTAGAAGTCAACATTTCGCCAATAGTTCCCTTGCCACATTGTGACCTTTCCGATATGTAAATCTGGGCTCAATCCATTGTCACTTTGACCCTCTTCTCCTGCTCTTCAGAATGGGATGCACTTTACATTCAGTGAGCTCTTTACACTGACGCATAGGTCACAAAGGCTGTATTAGCTCACTGTAAAAACACTAGTGTGTGGAGACCAGATGGACTGCCGTCCTCTGAGGCTTATATTATATAAAGTGCTATAGTGGGCTGGGAATCTTATTCAGAACCGGTTCAGTTTTAAACCAGTCATTTTCCGTCAACGGTTCTTGAACATTCGTGTTTTCATGCTGATACATATGAAACACCGCAGTGAAAGGGTGGTGAATGCAATGCAATAACAAAGTAAATAGAGTATAAAAATATTGAATGAAATGGTCAAAAAGATCCAAAAATCTCATTTGGTCATATATATAATGTAAGGGTATAAAAAAAACATTAAAATATGATTCCAAAACATTATTCAAAGTACATAAACAGAAATTGTTTATGGAATCATTAAGGAACCAGTATTATTATTAAATCCTCCTAAAAACGCCTAGGGCTTAATTACTGAAATCAAATGAATGCAGCGTTTGACCTATAAATTTAAAATATTCATTGCCTATGCATAAGAAACGACACCAAATACATTGAATCCATCATTCATTGATGTTATCAATGGTTGATAAATCCAAGGATTATGCATTTGATTTGAAGTGTCTAAAAATCGGATTTTCACTGATGTGTTTAACATCTGCCATATTAATGCAGAAACGTTTGGATTGTGAATATTCTCAATGAAAAATAATAGAGTTTATGGGAACTGCAACACGATGCCATTAAATCCAGATGCACTATAAAGGACATTTGAAGTGACAGAGCTTTCTCGCCTCAGGTGTCACAGCTGCCACCTCTCTCAAACAATGCCTTACTTCAACTTAACCTCACAGTGTGATGCAACACACCTAGTGGCCTCCAATAAAACAGCATTTCTTAAAAGACAAAAGGAAAAACATGCATTTTTAAGAGTTTCGTAAAAAACGCTTTAAACGATTGACCTCACTACTCTGATCCTTTCCCAAGAGATTTAAGACATGAATCACTGGGTGATAATGATTTTGCCAAGTAGGGCGAGTTCCTGGAACAGCATCCCAATTGACTCAACAGATTTTAGGGTTAGGGTTAGGGTAAGGGCCATGCTAGTTTGACATAAATGCTCTCCAGGAGCAACAAAACATGTTGATCAAAGAATGTGCTGATTCTCCAACTGTATCTGTACAAACGCTGTTGATGACATTGGTGATGTGATGTAATTAGATGCATCTGTGTTGTGCTGGAAGAGGAACTGTAGCATTAATTTTAATGTCCGCTAATGTTGAAATGATTGCACTTTGAACAGCAGAGTCACATCTATATTCAGACATTTTAAAACAGAAAGGCTGATAATGAAGTGTTCTCTATCATTACAAATTGTAGCTTGTCTTGTTAATGCTTTTTAGTTATCTAAAGTGTGTTAAGCTCTTGACCTTCTGAAAAGTATGTCATTTATTTTAATGAAACTCTGCAGCACTCATTGTATTGTTGTACTACTTTGTTTGAAAAAAAAAAATCGGTATGTATTTGTAATATAAAGAACAGACTTAATAAGAAGATCAAACTCAACTGACAATTTATTTTAATATTCTGCTATTATGTAGACAAAATGATCTGTCATGTTTTAGCCATTTAATCAAATGTCAGCAAGCTCTAACCTCTTATAGGTTGTGTTGCACATTATGTGAACTTGATTCTGTATGCATAAACAATCATGTTATACATTTAAGTGATTTGTGTTATTGGCCAGTTTCATGTAAGGTAATGAAAACTGTTTAATATGAATCACATGTATAGCTAAATACATGTAGAGCTTTTTTTTTTTTTTTTTTGGTCCATTTCTTGTCTTGATGTTCATACTATTTTGAATTCTCCTGTGCTTCTCTGTATTTTCCCTGCTTTACTAACAGGAACCCATTCCAAAAAACAGGGCGAGGATTTATCCGATAACGACGGTGATGAAGATGAAGGTATTCACTTTGGTGACGAAAGACAATTGCATGTCTTGGATTTTTGCCTCTGTACTTTGAATGCAGCCCTCCCTTTTGCATCTTTTTATCTTCTCTCATGGTCTAAAGAGTCATCTGAGTCTTTGTATGGCTGTGGAGGATGTGGAGTGTCTCGTATACTTCAATACTTAGCATGTCAGGGAGATTTTAAAGAGTGCGAGTGAATTGCGTTGGTGTAGCGTGGCTTTGTATGTTTTTTTCTATCTTCAGTTTCTGTTGTATATGGTATATCTGAGGCTAGAATACTTTTAATTAGTGCAGTGGTTCTCAGCTGGTTTTGCTTCACAACCCAACATAGAATCTACATTATTTATCATACAAAAATATACTTAAAATCAGATATTGAAATCTATTTACATGACCATGAAGAGCCTAAACCCAACAATATGCTATTGAGTGTTTTCTAAATGTCTTTACATTTCATTCGTTTTAATTATCAACACGATCTCATAGCTAATCATAGTTATCTATACAGTAGTAAGTAGTAAACATATGTTATTATTATATTGAAAGCAATTAATGTAATGCATTGTAAACATTGTAAGTATGATTTTGCATTCTGTTCGGTGTATTTTCTGGTGCCGTTTCAATTTGTCTTGAAGGATTCCATGACTTTTCCATTAACCAGTTTTAAAATGTTAAATAATTTAATCACTACATTTTTTTTTTAATAATATATAATGTATATACTGTAAAATAGTAATCAGTTCCATAACCATATTACTGTTATCACACAGAGTAATAGTAAATACTTCAACTTCAACAAACTGCTAAACACAAACGTCACGCAAAGCTCTGATCTCTACATGAGAAGCATTGCGAATAGTATCACAGAAGGTTGATTTTATCATTTATTCATTTACATAGAATATAGTACATTACATACAGTTTCGGAATGTTATGATGTGCCTATGACTTTGTGTCATAAAAAAACACTTTATAGTTAGATGCACAGGATCTGTCACTCTTTCATCTCGTGGGTCCGCGGCAGATGAAGTCAAAGGTGAAGTTTCACTTCAAATGAGTGTTGTGTTGTGGTACTTGACCAGCATGCAACATAACGCAAGCTGTTTTGCTGAAGTTTGATGCCTCGTTCCACTGAGTCTCATTTAGTCACGTAATAGTTGTATAGAATTCGATCCTAGGCCATAATACAGCGCAAAGACATGTTTTCATGATGTGTTAATTTAGGGTGACCATACGTGCCATTTTCCCAGGACGCGTCCTGGCCAGGATTTCTATATTGCCTAAAATATCTAGGTTTTGGCTTTGTTTGCGTGTGCAGACCGATCGGTGTATGACATCAAAGTACAATAGGTTATGCTTTGGAAACGCTCTCGAGGTACTTTGATGTCAAACACTGATCGGTCTGAGCCGCACTGCTTTTAAGTCGAACACACCTAATATGTACGCGTAATTGCATCGCTTTGACCGTAGATCCCACCTTCTCACACGCCATGATTGGTCCATTATGTACAATGCTTGCATGTTATTGGTCAAACTACTTTTCGATCATTACCTTCAGCAAGCATGAAAACAGGAAAACAAAGCCAAAACAAATCCTGGCCAGGACGCGTCCTGGGAAAATGGCACGTATGGTCACCCTATGTTAATTAAAATCGATTTATTGTGGCTTGGCTCCTGTATATGTTTTTCTAGCTTGCAGGACTAGCGCTGTATGTATTCAGCAACATGGAGACACATATGAGGCAAGCATGGGGTATCACAACACAGTTTTTAAAACAGGCAAATGGATTTAGATGAGGAGAGAGAGGCTGACAAGTTGTGGTAAGAGGATTAGCAACGGAGGAGGAAAAAGCATGCGCGCGAGAGAAGTTGCCTATCAGCAAGAGCATTGTTCAATTTCAGCATTTATCTTGGGATATTCTGGGCTCAGGGTGGATATCTGGTGAGATTAGAATAGGGAAAGTATTCTTCCCCAGTTACTGCGAAAGGCTTAAACCACAGAATCTATCTCAAATCCTGTTATTGTTGTTCCTTTATGCTCCTAAACTGACAGTAGATTTTATAGGTGGGGGACATGTTCGGTGCTGGAGTTATGGTCTAGTTGTACACCCCTACTTTGCCTTTGTTGGTTTAGACCAAGTGCTGCTCTCAGTTCTCAGCTCTCGTGTTCAGGTGCTGCAACAAAGCAGATACACTGGCTTTGTGTTTGCCATTCAACTGTTGTACTTCACAGCAGTGTCTAAGGCCGAAATGGAAACTGAAGCACCTCACATTTGAAGCGACTCAGTCAGGGGTATTAACAGCAATGTTAATCGATACACTTTCTTCAATACCAGCGGAGGCAGAGGCCTTGTAATGCACACTTCTTAGCCCCCAACATGTAGGGAAGCTTCCCTCGGGAGGATTTGGACTTCCAATCCAAAGCGGTTGCATTACCTTTGCAATTGGCTGGTTCAGACAATCCAATTTCTGACTTGTGCAAATGTGGTGGCTCTCCATGAAAAATCCAGTAGGCTCCAACAGTCAAGCAGCATGTCCTTCCAGAGGCTTTTCCACTTGGTCTGGAGGTTGGATTTACGGCCATAGCAGTCCCAGTGGGACGTGGATTCAGCTCTGCATTGAGATGTAGTCCACCGAGATGTCTGTGTTCTAGCCCAAGGCATGTTTTTTGCATGAGGTGCCAATTACCCTGCATCAATGGCCTGCCTATTTTTCCTTGACTCTGAATGGCCCAGGGGTAAGGCATCAACAGTGACAATAGGGAACATGGCTTGTGAAGCATGCCGGAACATTAAAATAAAAGAAGAATACAAAGCAGGCAAAGGTGGCAAATGAGTTGGCCTAGACTGGGAGGCTGTGGTTGGTAAATAGTTGAGCCTCCACTGAAGTTATCAAATGTAAGAGTGCTACAAATTAGTTTTGACACTTGAACAGCGCTGGAATGATATTCCACTTGAGGCAACTATATATCAGTATGCCCCGTTTGTCTAACAAGGCGTGCAAGTCAAAGCAACAATACTCGGACACAGACTAGAATTGAGCTGCCACTGCATATTTGCGAAAGATAGCAATAGTGAGCATGACACATTGTTCACCTTACAACCTCTACTCCTCTCTGACTACATAGTATCATTGTGAATCTAGGCCAGTCTTCCTTGGCAAACAATTCTAGACGACATCACCACACACTTAACCCTTAGCTAGGTCAGCCAGGAGCCTTTAGGCAAAACTTAAGGCAACTGTGCGAATACATCCCAGTCTTTCCATCTCTTTCTGCTCACTCTAGCGGAATCCCAATTTATCTACTTCTAAGGTAGGAATGCGTGCAAGTAAGTTAATATTTCAGTATTATGTCCATGCTTTTATTTGGGATGCACCAATCCTAATCTGGTTTATGTATAGAACGAATACAGTGGGACTTGGGATTTAGCCTAGATGTCTGTCTTTAGCTCTGAAATAGACTGAGCTCATATGACATAATGTAACTAGCAAGCTGTTTGGCCTTATTTCAGTCATCAGGCTTGGCACAAACAGATTGCAGTGCCTATCATTCTGTAGAACATCATTGGCAATTAAGTCAACCTCAGGTGCTACTAAACAAAGCTATAACACCTCCTACCAGTACAGTTTGCACTAAGGTATGCTGTTACGGTACTGGTACATTAAGTATGTGTATATTTAGGCACAGGGAGCTAATTCTTTAGGTAGAGCAAGGCAGTAGTGATATATCGCGTTTGGCTCACAGGAAGACTTACCTTGTCTCATGTGTCTGCTGTCTTCCCCACCTCTGACAAATAGATGCACATAGCTATTGCTTGGCTTGCTTATCCATGTGCCCTAATTGGACAAAAGAGCCCTTCCCTCCTCCAGACACCAGCCCTCTTCCCATGGTGCCAGTGGGCAGGCCAGCTCCACCTGCTTGGGTGTTAGGATGGATTTCAGTCAGCATCCAGACTAGAACAGAGTTCAGTACCCACCGTCACACAGGATGGGTTATATAAACAATTGGCCAAATTGGATGTATGCCTGGTTGTTTAATTTTGTGCCAACAGTTGAAGGAACAGACTGGAAATTTGTATGGCTTCAATGTATAGGTTGTGTTGTAAGCTAGTGATTTTAACAAACTAACCGTAGTATTAAACTTTGGCGTATAACTTGTCCTGCATCTCAAGTTGAGTGCTACTTCAAATTACACAACTTGTTTAGGAGAGGTGTGCTATTTGTTGTGACTGAACTTATGATGGTCACCTGGAATTGTTCTACAATGGAAATTTGTTGATTAATTGGAATTTTTTTAAATTAATTATTGTATTTAATTATTGGAATAAATTATTTATTTAAATGGAAAATTATTGAAAACTAAAAATATACTGAAGGTCTGTTCACACCAAAACGAGCAACCCAGGCTCACTGGAAATACGCGCTTGTGGCGACATTCCTGCAACAACATTATTACATACCTGACTGGTATCGCAGCAGTTGCAAAGTTAAATGTTCAGTGAGTAGCACTCAAACACGTGTTCAATGTGCAACCGTGGCTATTACATTGGTCCAGGCACGTATTGCTGTGTTTTTATTACGTTGGTTCAGATGCATATTGTGGCAGTTCAGAACTCAAATGTCCAGGGAGTGTCGCTAAAAGAATAATGCTCTATCATGTTGGAAAATAACACACACCATCCCAACCCTAAACCTACCTGATAATGTTAACAAATGCAAAATTGATATTAAAAACACATTCGCTGATGCAACCGTTCTATGAGCTGTTTTGTCGAACCATTGTTTCACAGGATTTGCACCGGAGTTCAATATTATGTCATTACATAATATTGTGCAAGGAAAAGTTTTGCAGAATTGTAGGCAGAGGCATGTATTTTTAGTGAGCCTGGGTAGCAACAGAATTTTGGGTGCAAAAATTTTGTGCTATACATATCTTAATTTGATTGAATGGCTGTCAATGCCTCTGTTCAGACCGACACAAATAATCACATATC